CCCCCCCCCCGTGTTGTTCAGGCAGAAGAGGGGGGAGGGGGCTGAAGTCCGGCCCTCCCTCCCAACGTGGGGACGGGTGACCGACTGTAGGGGTCCCTTCTGGGGCGAGAGTGGATCCAACGCTTCCGGCCTCCCTGTGACCACGAGGGCCGCGGACGAGGAGACGGCAAGAAGGCCCCCCCCAACTGAGCCCCCCCCTCCCCCCCCCCAGCTGCCAGCCAAGGGTGGCTGGGATTGCCGTGCTGTGCTGGGACAACAAAGGAGGCACCTCCGTTGCTCGAGCCCCGGAAGGAGCCCTGGGGGGGGGGGGGCACGTCCCCCCTCATCCGAGGTGGCTGCGGGGCCCGGCTAGTTCTCGGCCCCCCCGGTCTGTCGGGCCTTGATGAAGGCCATGCCGTGGGTGCGGAAGTGGGTCTTGAGGTTGAGCTGGGTGTCGAAGGCCTTGCCGCAGACGGTGCAGGAGAGGCTGCCCTCCGGGGCCAAGGGGGAGCCTTCCTCGGGGCCGCCCCGGGGCCCCCTGGCCTCCCCCTCACCCCGCTTCTTCTTGTGGGTGATGAAGCGGTGGCGGCTGAGGGAGACCTGGGAGGTGAAGCAGAGTCCGCACTCGTGGCACTGGTGGGCGTTCTCGCCTGTCCGGTGGCGGGGGATGTGCTCCTGGAAGTCGGCCGCCGTGGGGGCCACGTAGCCGCACTTCCGGCAGTGGTAGGGGGACCGGCGGCTGCCCTTGGGGGTCTTGGAGGGCGGGGTGGTACTGTCCGGCTCTTCGCTGCACGAGTCACCCTCGTCCGAGGAGAGCTTGCGCTTCCGGCTGGAGGCCTGCAGGGCGGAGGGAGGGAGGGGGTGGTGGCCGAGGCTGTCCCGAGGGGGGCGGGGGGGGGGCGGGGGGAATATTTTGAGGGATTGACCTCCCCCCCGTGGCCTCCCCCTGCACCCCCCCCGCTAAGGCTGCCTGGCCTGGGAATCCCTGCAGAGGATCCGGACAGGGGAGGGGCAGCCCCTCCCCCCAGGCAGCCCCCACCTACCTGGGAGTTCCTGGAGCCCAGGCGGGTGGCCAGCACCTCCTCGCTCCGGTTGGCATCGGTCACCTTGATCCCGTGCCGCACCTGGATGTGCTTCTCCAGGATGAGTCGGCTGCTGAAGGTGCGTTTCCCCTCTGTGCAATACCTGGGCGGGGCAGGAGGGAGGGGGACACTGAGCGGAAGGGAAGCCGGGGGGAGGGCAGCCCAGGAGACCCCCCCCTCCCTCACGTGGGCAGGGGGGGGCGGTCACCTACCTGCAGGGGTAGACCCTCTTGATGCCCTCGTGGTTCACCCGGATGTGCCTGCGCAGGCTGGGGGCGGAGCAGAAGGAGCGCTCACACAGGTGGCAGGGGAACTTCTTCACGCACTGGGAGGGGAGGGGGGGGAAGCGCTGGCGTGAGGAAGGAAGGTGACGACACACACACACACACCAAAGCCCCCCCCCTCCCCCGGCCCTCCCAGGCTCGCTTGGCACGACTCCCTGACCAGCCCCGGGTGGGAGGGCCCTTTGCTCTGGCCAGAGCCGAAGGCTGACAGGCAGCCCCCCTCCGTACCTTCCCGTGGACCTTCTTCATGTGCACCACGTACTCGTCCCTCTCGGGGAACCAGGAGTGGCAGATGCCGCAGGTCCACCCGTTGCTCCGCGACCGCCGGCCCATCTCCGCCTTGCGCTGGAACCGGCCCCGTTTGCTCTTGCGCAGCTCGGGGGAGCTGGGGGGGTCGTCCTCCGAGGAGGAGGAGGAAGAAGAGGAAGAAGAGGAGGAGGCCACCTTGGGGACGGGTGGCGGGGGCTCCTCCTCGGCCGGGGCCGGCTTGGGCGGCGCGGAGGGGGCCGGCTTCTTGACCGCTTCCTCCTTGGGCTTCTGCTGCTGCTGCTGCTGGTGGTTGTTCTGAGGGCCGGACGGAGACGGGGTCAGTGGTCAAGCCCCATCCGGCCACCCTTGCCCCCCCGCCCCCTCCTTTTCCCCCTCCCCGACCTTGAGGTGCTCCAGCATGGTCCTCTTCTGGGCGAAGAGCAGGGGGCAGTCGGGGCACTTGAAGACGCTGACCCTCTGGTTGACCAGGTGCTGGTCGAAGTGGGAGGAGAGCAGCGGCTTGTGGGTGAAGACCGTGTCGCACATGGCGCACTTGTAGATCATTCTGGGCACAGACAGGCGGAGGGGGGGGTGTTGTAAGAGAGGGGGGGGTCTCTCCTTCCTGCCCTCCGGTGCCCTCCCCCCCACACCGGCAGAGACCTCCCCCTCCCGCCCTGCCAGGGTGTCCTCTAGGGAAAACGGGAGCGACGAGAGCGGAGCGAAGCAAAACGCAGAATAAGAACGAACAACAGAATCACAGAAATAAGAGGAGGAAGAGAAGAAGAGAACAAAAGAGAGAGTAGAAGGATAGAAAAACAAAAGAGCAGAATGACAGGGCAGGGGCCCTGGGGGTCATCTAGTCCAGCCCCGCTGCTGAGGGCGGGAGACGGCTTCCCCCACCCCCCGTCCCGTCCCGCCGGCTGGCCTTACTTAGACTGCTGGCTGCTGAAGCCCGGGTGCTGGGTGTAGATGTGGCCGTGGGCGCTGGGGGCCGACTTGAAGGCCATGGGGCAGACGGGGCACTTGTGGAAGACCTCGCAGTGCGACGCCTGGATGTGGGACTTGATGGAGTTCACCCCCCCAAAGACGACGGAGCAGCTGGGGCACCTGGGCGGGGCGGAGGGGGGGAGGACCAGAGAGGCTCAGGCCAGGCCCACAGGTGCCCCCCGTCCCGGCTGCAGGGCTGGCCAGGCGGGGAGGGGCAGAGAGCCCACCCACCCACCCGCCCCGCTCGAGGGGGGCCGCCCCCTCCTACCTGTAGCCGATCCTCCGGGAGAAGTGGAGGCAGGCGTCCTTCAGGTGGGCATCGAAGTTGGCCAGGAGGAAGTTCCCGCCGCACTCGGGGCAGACGTGGGGGGCGCGGCTCTTGTGCATGCGCTGGTGGGCGCTGAAGCTGCAGCGGTTGGCCATGATCATCGGGCAGCTGGGGCACACCTGGAATGGCCGGGGGGGGGGGGGGGGGGCTTTGTCTATGGGGGGGGGGGGGGGGGGGGAGTCCAGCCCCTGCTCGTCTTTCCCCCGGAGGGGGGCCCACACCTCAACAGAGAGGGCAGTCCTCCCTTAGCGACGGTTGGGTGATTGAGCGAAAGGGCTGCAAAGTGAGCCTGCGACGGGGTTCCCTTCGCTTGGCAGACCCGGAAAGGCTCCCAGGGCAAGGAGATGGATTTTGCCATCACTGCCGTCGCTAAACAAACCAGCCGCTAGGCGAGGACTGAGCTGCACAAGGATTTCCACAGGCGGCCCCCCCCCCCCCCCCCCGGCCCTCCCCAAAGCAGCCTTGCAACCCAAGCAGGGCTGGCCACCTGGGCTCCTCTGGGGTCGCAGGAATAACTGCAGGGTTGGGAGGGACCTTAGAGGTCTTCTAGTCTCACCCCCCCCACCCACTCCAGGCCAGGGGCTGCTGGTCTCTTCCGGGAAGCCTCCAGGGCCCAAATGCCCAGGGGAGAGCCCCCTCCCTCCCTCCCCCCGGTCCCCTCCCCCTCATTTACCGTGGAGGGGGTGCTCCCGGCCTGCTGGAAGTGGGCGGCCAGCCCGGCCTTGTCCTTGCACTGCTCCTTGCATTCCAGGCACTGGCAGGAGTTGGGCGCCGCCGGCTGGTCGGTGCTGCCGCCGCCGATGTTGCCGCTGCCGCCGCTGCCCAGGGGCAGGACGGGCAGGTCCTGGCCGGCGCCCCCGTTGGCCACGCCGACGTCCGGGGCGAGTCCGGCCGGGGAGGCGGTGGGGGCCTTCCCGGCCTGGCTGAGGGCGGCCAGGGGGAGGAGCGGGGCCACGTCCGGCTGGCCCACCATCTGGTCGAGGGCGATGGGCCGCATGACCAGGTGGGAGCACTGCATGACCAGCCCCTTGTCCTTGTGCTCGCGGGCGTGGAGCAGCAGGCTGCACTTGTTGAAGAAGACCAGCCGCCGGGCGCAGTGGTTGCAGGTCACCTCCACCCGCAGGCTGCGCCGGTCGTAGTGCCGGGCCAGGCTCCGCTCCAGGGCAAAGGCGTCGCCACACTCCAGGCAGCGGTAGCCCAGCGGCGGCAGGGCCAGGCTGGACTCGGCCGGGGGCAGCAGGTTGGGCTTGTAGGGGGGCAGCAGGTTCTTGCTGTTGAGGATGCGGTTGAAGGCCTCCACCAGGCTGGACTGGCTGCGGGAGATGACCGTGCCGGCCACGGGGGGAGGGGCCTTCTGCGGCTGCATGACCACCACCGTGGTGCCGTTCACCTTCTGGCTGGCGGGGGCGGGCAGGGCGGGGCCCCTGGCCTCGGGGGCCGCCTTGGGGAGGGCCTGGGGCACCAGGCTGAGGATGCTCTTGGCCAGGGCCTTGCTGGGCAGCACCACCGCCTTCTGCTGGGCCACACTGGCCGCCATCAGCATGGCGCTGCTGGCGCTCTGGATGGGGGAGGCCGGCAGCACGGTCCCCTTCAGCTTGGTGCCGTCGCCCAGCTGGACGCTGACCACCTGGGGGGCTTCAGCCGCCTTGGCCGGGGCCTTCGGGCCGGGGGTCTCCGGAGCGGGCTCTTCCTTCTGGGCGGCAACGGCCCCCGGGCTCTCCGGGGCTCCCGGACTGCAGGAGAGTTTGGCGGTGGCTGGGTCAGCGTCGGAGGAGACTCTGGTCACCGTCCGGGTGATGCTTCCCGAGGACGTCTTGATGGTCTTGATGCGGACCTTGAGGGGCCGCGAGGAGCCGGACGAGGGGGACCCGGGGCTCTGCTCCTCCCCTTCCTCCTCCTCCTCCCCCTCCTCCTCCTCCCCCGCACTGGGCGGGCCTGGCAGGCCCTGCAGCGGTTTCTCCACCGGCTCTTCCTTTAGGGACCCATCGCCGCCGGGGGGCCTTGGGGAGGCCCCGGGCCCCGGACTGGCTCCCGTGGGTGGGGAGCCCTGGAAGAGCTGCTCCCGGGGGCTGGAGAGGCGTTGCTTGATGTCGGCCAGGCCGCCCAGCTCTCCCTGCAGGTCGGCCTCGGAGCCCGGCCAGGGGACGCCGGGGGAGGTCTCCGTGGAGTAGCAGGAGGCGGCGGACTTGGGCTGCCCCAGCGGGCTGGAGCCCTGGCAAGGCCCCTTGCAGTCGACCTCCTGCTTGATCACGGGAGGAGCAGCCGGGGGAGGGGGAGGAGGGGGGGTCAGCAAGAGGCCCATCCCGCCGGGAGGGCAGGGTTCAAAGGCCGGAGGGAAGGCCGGAGGGGGCGAGGGTCCCAGGCTCTCCTCGAGGGGCCCAGGACCATCCAGGGAGGGGGCAGCGGACAAGAGGGGCGCCGGGGGGAGGGCCGGCCCTACCTCCCTCGCCTGGCATCCCCGCGGCTGGTCGATCAGGTCTGCCTCCCCGTCCTTGGGGGGCTGGGGGCTGAAGGGGGAGAAGAGGTCCAGGCTCTTGGGGGCCTTCTCCTTCAGGGCCCAACACTCCCCGTTGGTGGGGGCCACGGCTTCTGCCGAGGAGGCCGGGGAGCCCCGGGCCGCCTCGGGGGCCGCAAAGCCGTTCTGCAGCAAGCGGGAGCTGTCCTTGAGCCGCCCGTCCGCCGGCTCCAGCTGCTCAGGGCAGACGGTGTTCTTCACGATGACGCTAACGGTGGTGATGTCAGCGTGCGGCAGGGCGGGCTCGGGGCCGGGCACCTCCACGGGGACGGGGCGGACGGGAGGCTCGGCCTCCTCGTGGCCCGAATGGATGGCCTCGCTGGTGTCGATGTCGGGGATGTCGAAGGCCGCCAAGAGGTCGTCGAAATCCGGGGTCTTCATGTCCCCCATGGCGAGGGGCTGGGAAGGCTCTGGAAGGCAAGGGCCAGCGGTCAAGCCAAGAGGGGCACAGGAGGGGGTCAAGGCTCCCCCCCCCCGGCCGGTCTGAGCGGCTCTCCAAAGAGAGCGCCTTCAAGGAAGGACCCGGGTCAAAGGGGGTCTGCCTGCTTACATTCAGGTCTCCCGCGAGGGGCAGCGGCCGTGGCTCACCCACCGGGGCCTGGTTCCAGCATCCAGAGCTCCTGGGCCGTTGCCCAGGCTCCGCTCCAAGCTTCCTAGGAGGAAAAGGCAACAGAGCCCCGTTTTATGGCTGTCAGACATTAAAAGGAACGAGCTTCCCCAGATCGGCTGGCCAACGTTTTGGAAGGAGACCCAAAAACGGACGGCAAACAAGGAGGAGAAAAACTACACACAGCAGCACGAATAACGAACAAACAGGCCAGAGAGTGAAGGCGGCTGACCTCCCTTGGCCACACCACTGCCCCTTCCTCCCCCCTCGGGCCCAATCCCTTGACCGGCACCGGGCCAGAGGTAACCAGGCTGCGGGGTGGAGCTTCCCCCCCAACAAACCCATGCAGCCCCCCCCCCGTGGGCCTGGGGGCTGCTGGATAGCGGGGGGGCCGAGACGAGGGGCTCGCGTCTTCCCAGAGGAAGGAAAGTACGAGGAGGAGGGGCTTCTGGAGGGGGGGCGGTCCCTGTGCCAGGGTGTGCCACAAACCTGTGGCCAGAGGGGCAGCCGGGCGCTTGACCTACAGCCCTGCAAGCAGCCCCTTTGGGGTGAGCCGCAGCTCCGTGGCCGGGATCTGGGATGGATCCTCCTCCGCCCATTGACGAACGCACAGGGTGGCCACCCCTTCACCCCTCTGGCCAGCGTCCAGGTCCGTGTTATTTCCTGGCTGGTCCCTGGGGGGGCACCGGCACACGCCCCCCTGCCCGAGACCCCCGGCAGGCAGAGGGCGAGACCCGCCTCCTCCTTTCCTACCAGGCGGGAGGGCCGAGGAGGGGGCCATTCCTCTCCACCCGCCCTGGGCACCTGCAGGACCACCCCACTAACCTGAGGAGGAGGAGGAGGAGGAGGAGGAGGGGGGGGTGGGGGCCCAGGGCCTCCGCCTCTAGCCAGGCCAGGTGACGCCTGGGAGGGAGGCTGGCGCAGTCGCTCTGCCCAGCCTCCCCAGCCAGCGCCAGCTGCAGAGGGAAGAGCGGGGAGGGACGCCAGGCGGAGGAGGAAAACAAGCACCCAGCTCCCCCGGGGGGGCGAGCCAGGGAGGGGAAGGCAGGGCTACCTTTCCCGCAGCTCCGCTCCTCCCCAGCCCAGGCGGGCCAGTCACGTTGGGCAGTTATGAGGCCCCCCACTCCCCAAAGGAGCCCTGCTCTGCCAGCTGCTGAGGGCGGGAAACCCGGGTTAGGAGCAGCAGCCCCCCCCCCCCCCCCCAGAGCAGGGGTGGAGGGCAGGAAGGGCCGACCGGGCGCCTGGCGAGAGAGAAAACCAGAGCTGGCCAGATAAGAGGAGGAACGGGGGGCCCATCGCCGGGCGGAAGAAAAGGTTCCGCCAACGGAGCAGCGGGGGAGGCCTCTGCCCTCCGCTCAGCCCGCTTCTCTGAGCCTGGAAGCGGGACGGAGAGGGGCGCAGGGACCCCTCGGAGGGAGAGGAAGGCCTGACCCAGGCCCGGCGTGTGTGTGTGTGTGTGTGTGTGTGTGTGTGTGTGTGTGTGTGTGTGTGTGTGTGGCTTCTGCTCCAGGGAAGGTCTGGATAAACACGTGCCAGCCCAGTGCCACCGCGACACAGCTCCTCGGGAGCAGACCCAGCGTGCACCTCAAGCACTGCAGCCTCCAGCAGGGCAGATTCAACAGATTCCGGGGATCCGGCGGATTCAAGCCCAGTTTCAGGCCACAAAACCTAAAGAGGGCAGGCGGCCACAGGCTGTTCTGTCTGCAAGGAAAGGCCCGGGGAGCCTTGGTGTGCAGCCGTGTGGCTGAGTGGCCTGCTAAGGGGGGGGGGGGGCTGGGACCAAGCCCCTCCGACGGTTCCGGGGCAATGGGGTCTTCCTGGACCCCCATGACGGGCCCTCCACGGCTCCCGTTTCAGGTAGACTCCCAAACAGCAGAGCCAGAGTCTCAGAATGAAAACCAACTTCTCCGCCCCAAGTTATTCCACAGCTCTGCTTCCTCCTCCTAACTCTGCTAAAGCTGCTTTATCAGGGCAGGAACACCTGGCAGTCTCTGCCCACGATGGACAAAATCTACCCCAGGTGATCACTCGTCATCCCCACACGCCCATCCCGAGCAGACCGGTTCCCTAGGCCTCCCCAGGAGCCAAAACCCAAACGCCTCCCTCTTCCCAGAGCAAGGACACCCCTGGCTCGCAGCCGTTTGGGGAGAGCCAGGCCAAACCCCCAGGGCAGCTTTCCCCATCTCTTCAACCCCAAAGGCTGCCGGGCTGGGGGTCCGAGGAGGGCACAGGGATTTCTCAGAGCTGCCAGGGCATCGCACGGGGCATCCAACGGCCTGCGCTTGGCGGCAGCCGCACCGGACGGGAATCACCGCTTGCCCAGAGCAAATGTGCAACACAGCTGGTGGTGGTGGGGCTCTGGTTGGATCCCCAAAATAAAATAGATGGACCCGTGTGATGGAAAATTTAATGCTTATTATCTTCGGGGTTGGGTGCCTGCCACATTAGGACACTGAAGTCCCTGGGGGAGGGGGGGAGCCCCAATATTTATGGCCAGAGATTTGGCCCTGGGGTGCCCAATAATACTGGGCCCTGTTCGCCTGCACCCCAGACCAGGAGAACAGAGGAGCCATGTCTCCTTCTGAAGGAATTGTGGGCTGGGCTTTGAAAATTAATCCACAGGACGAACGAGGAGGGCGGAAGCTGGGACAGGGGGCCACCCCACAGAAGCCCACCCGCTGACCGGAGGTTTATTTCATGGCCAGCAGGATCTTGCCAAGCCTGCTCAGCTCCGCGGACTGGACCGGACGTGTCCATCCTCCCTTCTCCCTGATTTTTATACCTCTTCACACCCTACCCTGTGGCACACTCAGGGCAGAGGCCAAAACGAAGACGAAGCCTGGATTTTCCAGCTGGAGACGTTATCCAAACGCTCCCCCCCTTCTCCCCCCCCAAAAGCAGGGGCTGATCACCCACTTTTCCACATCTGACCTCCTGTCCTCCCCGCCACCCCAGCGCAGGGTTCGAAAACCACCCCGGGAACAGGTTGGGCAAGAAGCAGTGGTGGTTTTATTATTCCAGATGAATCAACGCCCATGGCAGCTGCCTCCCCCCCAACCCAACCCAGCCATGTCTGGCAAGAGATTAAATTCCAGTCCATTTAAGAGAATTAAGACAAGACCATCTGCTAACTTAAAAATACTAAGCAGGGAGGAAAAAGAAGTGAGAGAGAGAGAGGAAAAAGACGACTCCAAGCTCCCACTCCAGGGGGGAAGGGAGGTTAATTTTAATGAAAATACCGATATTGATTGGCTTGAGATGGCAGGAGTCATAAGCATAACAAACCCAGGTCAGGAGGAGGAAGAGGCTCTCAGCCCACAATGCCCGGCATCGCCCAGGGCATAAAAGGCAGGCGCTGGGTGGGGCCTTTTGAATAGCAACAAGTGATTTAAGTCATTCCTAGATGGCACCAATTCAAATGCAAACAGTAAGAAAGGCGGCATTAAGTGGCTGCTGGCCTGGAATCCAAAAGTAACATATCAACAGAAACACCAAACACATCCAGAGAAGGAAGCCACAGGAAGTGGACACCACATACTTCAAACCCCAATACGTGGCCCTCTTTGAAAAAGCGTCATCCAAAAGTTTGGAGTCCTTTTCTGCCACCCACCAATGTCTCAAAGATTACAAGGACCCAGGGTGAAAAGAAAAAAAAAAAAGAAAAATCAGTGAAGATCTTTAAAAACCTTCCTCTTCTAGCCATCCAGCCTTTTCCTGCTTTAATCAAATTCATACAAGGTGGGCATTTATTTACTAGTGGCCAAGATCCCCCAGTGAATCCCGCAACGGACTGGTGGTCGGAGAGCCCAAGTTTTGTCTGCTGGACAGAAAAGAGTTGCTTGCGCGGGATTTAGGAAGAAAGCAGGAAACCAAGAACAAAAGCGAATTAAAAGATTAATGATCCCCATTGCCAGTTTGGGGAGAGGAGCTTTGCGCTCTTAACCGCTTTCCCCTGCCCTGAGTTTCACCAATAACACAGGGATAGGAGGACATCCCCCCCAAAGAGAAAATTCCAGACTTCAAAAGTGCATAAAACATTTTTAAAAAATGCATAAAATCCCTCCTCCCCATTTAGATGCCACACACGGTGACCCTGCATTGCCCAAAACCGATGGATCAATTCAACCTTTCCAAACACACCTGTGATACTTCCAACTCTCCCCAACCCAGGTAGACGATGCCCAGAATTGGGTGACTTTTGATTCATTTTGTTAAAAGGAAAAGGGGAAAAAAGGGGCCAAACTGGTCCAGGGGAAGGTAAAGACTTGCCTGGTGGGTGGACAGGAAATTTGGAGGCTGTTAAAAGTGACCACACGCACAACAAACTCCTTTAAAACTGTGAAATATTAGAATGCCGGCATCGTGGGCCACAAATGCTGCATGGTAATATTTGGGGGGGGGAGAGGGAGATTTGCAGGACCCCCCAAAACTCCTCATCTCCATTTATTCTCCTCTCTTAATTGGGGGGGGGACCCAGGAAGCCCCCCCCATTGAGCTCCTTCAGAGGTTTTCCCCCTTTTGGGGGGGCTGGGATCCCCCCAGATCTGCCCCCCATGGAAAAATATCCACCCCTCCTTTTTTTTTTCATTCATATTTTAGCCCAGTGTCCTCATGGGGGGAGGGGGGAGTCAGTCGTTCTGGTTTTGGGGGGGCAACCAAGGAGACCCCCCCCTTTGCAATTTTCGGCAGCCCCCCTTCCTCCAGGCAGGCTTTTTTTTGGGGGGGGGGCTGTATTTATTTTGGAAGTTCCTTTTTTAAAAAAGGCAGAGGTTTTTTTTTTGAGGGGGGGGTGTTTGGCCTTTACTGCTCCAGGCAGAGCAGGCGAGGATGATGGGATCTGGAGTCCTGGGGAAATGGGGTTTGTAGTCCCACCCCTTAAAAAGCTGGGGCGGGGGGGTGGAGGACTCCGGGCGGGGGTGCCGTGGGGGAGCGGAGGGAGACCCCCCACCCGGGCCCACGCGGCTGCCCTGCCCCTCCCCTCGCTTGGAGGCCTCGGGGAAGGGGAGCAGACCCCCCCCCACGCCTTGAGGCGGCCACGCGGCCTCCTACCTGCGCGGCCCCGGCCCCCTCGGCTTCCCGGCGTGGGGGCTTTGCGGTCGGCGCGGCGCTTCCCTCGGCTGCTCTGAGGGCCTCCGCCTCCTCGGCTGCTTCCTGCTTCCCCCCCCCCCCACCAGCGCTCGCGAATCGACATTGGACCACTCGCCCGCCACTCCAGGGGCAGCGCGCTTCGCCGTTGGCCGAAAGGGACGTCATTTATAGGCGGGAGCAGGCGCTCCGGATGGCTATAGGGTCAAGGGCCTTCGCTACAGAGGGATGCACCGCCCACTTCGACCTCAGTTTTCATTGGAGGCGAGGGAGCAGAGGGGGCTGCTCTGTTCCTGTTGCCTTTTTGACCTATTGGTTGGACGGCCTGCCTATCAACGCTCGGCACGCCTCATCCGCTGGCCGGTGGAGATCATTTTGTGAGACCCAGCCGGGGAAAATTCACTCGGCAGGTGAGCTCCCCCCCAGTCGGTTCTATTGGCTAAGAATGCCATAGTTGCACAGCGGCTTCTCATCGCGATTGGCTTTTCCGAACGTCACTCAGACTGACGTCGAATGTCGCTTTCCAATTGGTGAAAATCCGCCTCAGGCGGGACTTTTATCATATTGACTCATTGCTTTGAGAACACAGTAACTGCAGCAGGTGTAACGAACCGCCTATTGGTGTTCAACCATGGAGAGGAGGGACTTTGCCCGTGTTCTACTCATCTTATTGCGTATTATTGCCGTCGTTCAAATGAATTGTCCGCCTTCTCGCCCGCCCTCAAAGGGCTTGAAAACATGAAAAACACCAACTCGCAAGGCATGATGGGAGGCGAGAAGCCGCGGGAGCCGCGCAAGGGCGCCTGGGAGAAAATGACTCGGGTACCTGAGGGAGAGCGCAAAGGATTGTGGGCGATATTGGCCAACCTGCACTTCCGGCCAGGGAAAAATGTGCTTTTTAAAAAATAACATGAAACTGATTTTTTAATTAAAAATTTTAAAAATTGCCCAGGCTCTCCAAACTTGGCAACTTTAAGACTTGTGGACTTCTACAAGCCTTAAAATTTCCCAAGTTGGGAGAGCCTCGGCCTGAAGGAAGGAGACCTGGTCAAAAAGTGGTCTTTCCCCTCCAAGCCAAGGCTTATTGCACAAGCCAGCATGGAAAACCCTACCCAAGCCAGTATTTCTCAGCCTGGCCTACCTCGCAGGGGTGTTGCTCAGAGAAGACGGGGAGATGTCTGGGAAAACCTGGGAGAAGCCAATTTTGCAACAAATGGCCCTTGCGCCTGCAACCCTAAGCGCTTGTTCAGCTCTGCACACCAACCCGGCAGATTCACCCATGAGGACTAGAGCCCTGAGCAGGCCAGAGTGTCGGGCCCAGCAAAAGAGCGAGACCGTTGGCCTCCTGCCTCTCCTTGAGGCGGGCTTTGTGCTCTGTTTCCCCACCTGCTTCGGTTCCAAGCCAGATCTTGATCTCCCCGGCCCGGCTCGCCATGGCAGTCCAGCCTGGAACAATCTTCCCTTTGTGCTCGGCTGAGGCCAGGGTCTCCGTCTCCCCCTCCCCCCCCAGGCCAGGCTTTGGATGCCTTCCAAGGCCGCCGTGACGAGGCTCTTTTCCTTGAAGGGAGAGCGGTGGCCGTGCTTGG